TGTCTCTCCCTGCTTTCATTAAACTTTCATCCCCTCTGCTTCTACCCAACCCCCCCCCCCCCCCCCCAAATACTGCAACAGTCTTCTGATTGGATTCCCACTGAGCAGGAAGGCAAATATTTGAGCCTAGTCTTCAAGGCTCCCAGAGGCCTAGTTCCTAACCCTTCCAGCTCCAGTCTGCCCTACCCACGAGGCTCACAGCATCACTTTCCGTCCCTAAGACATACCACTCACATTCAGTTTCGCCTGCCTTTGTTCTTAGGGTTCCTTTGGCCCAAATAGCAGATCTCGTTCATCTGGTTCCTTTCATCCTTTAAGATTCAGCTCAAATTTATTTCTTTAGGAATAAATCTCTAACAAGAGATATAAATTTCTAAAACCATAAGCTCTTGGGGATTTGAGATTTTTCATTTAAGGGATCTAGCCATTCCCAAATCTGCTTTGGGACAGCTTCAGACAACCTGAGGTGGCAGAGGTTTGGGAACCTGGAAGCCGCTGGCCAGCGGAAGGGAAGCCACAGGAGGAAGGTGGGGCCTGGGACAGAGGGTCTGGGAAGAGATGCAGTAAAAGGAAGGAGCAGAGGGGAAAGGTGGGATCCAGTGTCCTGAGGAAATGTTTCCTGCAAGTGACAACTGTGAAAAGTAGAGTGTGCAATAGGAAGAACAAGAATTTTGGAGAGAGGAGGCTTTAATCTGAGCCTAGTTTCTATCAATAAACTGAGTAACCTTGAGCAAATCAGTTCATCTCTTTGTGCCCTAGCTTTCTCACATATAAAATGAGGATTAAAATCTGTGCCATAAAAAAAAAATAGAAAAAAAAGCTTCCTTTGAGACCCAGTCCAGATGCCACCTCTTCCACAAAGCCTTCACTGGACCTTCCTGTGGAGTAAGGTTGCTGCTGTAGCTAAACCCTGGAGAATCTGTTCTGCATCTGTCAGGGATGGAGCCTTTCTACCTCCTCCAGTTACTACCAATAACAACCTTAAGGGGGCTCCTCCAGTGGTCTATGAACCTCTGTGTCTGGACCCACGTCCAATTCACTGTCTCTCTTCCACCCTTGGAATGCTCATTGGAAACACCCAATAAATGTATGGAAGCCAAATGAAGATAAAGATACAGTGATATTCCCAGGGTCCAAGAGTTTTTATATATATATTTCTAAGCTCCCTAATTAGATTCTAAGCTCCAGAAGAAAGACAGCATCTATGGTGTTCATTTCTTTGTTCGCAGCTCCTAACACAGCAGTGGCACATAATAAATACCACAATTATTTGTGGAATAAATGAGTGATGTTGACATCTTCTTTGGTCCAACATAGGACACTCTGAATTTTCTAATCCTTGACCACCCGAAAAGGACTGGAGGCTCCTCCTGTGTGTCCCCATAACAACCCCTACTTCTCCTAGTGTAGTACTTAATTATAATTGTTTGCTCCTCTTTCCAATTTCCCATTTGCTATGGGGACTATGATACCTTATTTATCTATGTAATCCCAGAGCTTAGTATAGAGCCTAGAACTCACTAAAAATGTGTTGGGAAAATGAATGGGTAGATGGGTAAATGGGGAAAGAGCAACAGCTACTCAGTCAATCTGTCTTTTAGGAAATCTCTCTTGTGACCAACCATACCTGTATGCAAGATTAGTGAATGAATGAATGAATGACTAGCTGGCTGGGAAATGCTAGAGATGATGACTGTTGGAGAAGGCTTAGTAACTTATGTAATATAGGAACCTTGCTTCTTGTCTGTATACTTACTTGATCTTTGATCTTAGGAAAAGTCCCTTGACTTTCTTTTTTTGTTGTTTCTTCACCTGTAAAATAAATATTATACTCCTTAGCCTGCCATTCAGAGCTCTTGACCTTTCTCATTAATTATATTCCATTATCAACCTTCTACTCCAAAATGTCTCACATAGGGCCTAAAAAATACCACAGGACTAAAAAGCCAAGAAGTAGGTTGATACAGATGTAGAGACAGAGACAGAGACATATAGATGGGAAGGTGGAAGAGGAGAATCATTTTATGACAGTGGGGTGGGGCTAGAGTGCTTAAGTAAGACGTGCAAATGGCAAATCAGTAAGGAAAGGGTCAGTTTATATAGTCATTTATGCACAATAAATTTTATGCACAGAAACAGTAGCAAAGACAACAATGAAAAATATGATAGAATCTTGGAAAAAGATATTTGCTATGCATGTAACACAAAGAATAAATCAGACTCAGCTCATGGGGGACATACAGACCTGCACACAACTAATCATAGAAATTCCAGTTCCCTATGAGGAATACTAGGTGAGAAGGTGGGGATTTACAACTAATGGTCTAGTCTAGCAAGGGCATATCCCCTCCAGGTTACATTGCTTAGAAAGTAACTTAAAGAGAAATATGAACTTTATCTGGATGGTGGAAAAAGAAGGTCCAAGTTCCAGACTTAGAGGCTATCTGCCTGGTTAGCTTCAACTACTTCTGGTCTCTATCTTAAACTTGAAGCAGCTAATCTCAATGCTAGCTCCAAACACACACACATGCACACAAATGCTTCTCATCCGCACACATTTGCTTGTCCCATTCCTTTGGCCTATCATACTCTTCTGCTCCTCTACTTTGCCTACATCATGAAGATGTTCATTCCTCAGGCTGACTCTTCTTTGTTCTACCACCTCAGGCCCACCTCTTAATGGAGGCATGATGCCCCAGCATATTATAATGGTCTGCTTAACTGCCTGTGCCCCACTCCAAACACCCCTAACCCAGGCTGTGAGCCCCCCTATGGCCAGGCCTGGATCCTATGTCTCCTCATCCCCAGCACCTCATACAGCTGTTGACTAGGCTCAATGAGTGTTTATTGACTTAAACTGAACCACAAACATAATGCCATAGAGAAGAAAAACATAAGGATGAAGGAAGGTTCCACAGAGCAGGTGACATTAGAGTTGGGTCTTGAAACATGAAAAGTTAGAAAACATGAACAGCCAAAAGCTACAGGGGCATCAGAGTGGACTGCTTCACAGAAATGAGGAAACCTCATCTAATATTATTTAGTGATAATTACCAGGTGTCAAGACAGGTATTTTGACATTTTTGTTCAACAAAATATCCCCAGTGACTGCTACATAGTAAGCACTCAACAAATGTCTGTTCAATCATTTGGACACTTATGGGGGGGTTATGGGGTAAAAAAAACAAATGGTACAATGTCATAGAGTATAGTATAGTACAATCCTATCATGTGACGGCTCTTGGTAGACAGAATAGGAATTTCATGAGAGTAGAAAATAGGTCTGCCTTGATCACCCTCTATGCCTTAGTAGAGCTCTGGAGAATGTTGATGCTCAAAAATTTTTGTGGGGAAAAAAGTAAATTAATAAAAATCTAGACTACTATTACATACTATGGGTTTTGAAGTTTACAAAAACCTGGCTTCTAAATCAGCTTCTGATACCTGTTATCTGGCCTTGGGTAAATTCCTTACTTTTTTTCATCTGACAGGGCTATTAGGGGTCTAAATGGACATTGAGAAGATGTGCTACTCACACATGATGGAGTACTACTCAACAATAAAATGAATGAGCTCTCTTCTTCAGAGCTGCTTACGAAGGTGGCAGCCATCTTCTACTGCCTCATGGCTGCTCTCAGACCCCTGGTGAAACCCAAGATCATCAATAAGAGGACCAAGAAGTTCATCCAGCACTAGTCAGTCTGATATGTCAAAATTAAGCATAACTAACTGGCAAAAACTCAGAGACACTGACAATAGGGCCTGAAAAAGATTTAAAGGCCAGATCTTGAGGCCCAGCATTGGTTATGGGAGCAACAAGAAAACAAAGCACATGCTGCCTAGTGGCTATTGAAAGTCACTGGTCCACAGCATCAAGGAGCTTGAAGTGCTTCCCCTGTCCACCAAATCTTACTGTGCAGAGACTACTCACCACCCGAAAAGCCACTGTGGAAAGAGCAGCCCAGGGGCTCATGGGAGTCACCAATCCCAAAGTCAGGCTACTCAGCCAAGAAAATGAATAGAAGACAGCTTATGTGCACATTGTATTTGGGTTTATAAAACCATAAAATTCTGCCATCTGGCATTTCAAAAAAATATTAAAAAATTAAAAAAGAATGAAATCTTGTCATTTGCAACAACATGGCCGAACCTAGAAGGTCACAGAAAGACAAATACAGTATTTCACTTATAGGTGTAATCTAAAAAATAAAACAAACAAAACAAAAGCAGACTCACAGGAAATGGGATCAAATTGATGACTGCCAGAGGGAAAGGGGAGGGAGGATAGGTGAAAAAGGTAAAAGGAAATATAGTCAATAATATTGTGATAAGTTTTCAGTGACAGATGATTCCTAGATTTAGTGTGGTGGTCACAGTGTAAGGTATAATATAGTGTCCAATCACTATATTATATGCCAGAAATGAATATCGTATTACATACCAACCACACTTACATAAAAGATAAATGAATGCACTTAAGACACTGCCTGGCAGAGAGAAGTCACTCACTGAATGAGTTCTCCATAACATGAAAACATTACTAACGGCTAAGATGACAGTCACCAGAGGGAATAACTGGTAAGTGCTGTAACAGGGCTAGAAAAGAATGAAGAACGAGCTCTGACGCCCCTATCGAAATTTGAAGTTTGGGACAGAGGAAACTCTTAACTCCTCAGGCAAACTGTTTCCAGCCGCACCTGCCTCCGGCGTCTCTTCCGCCTCCGAGGCGTTCGCGGAGGCGACGTCCCGGTCTGGTGGGATGAGCGCCTGCGAGCTTTACGGGGATTTCGGAGCCGCTCCACACTGGCGCCTGCCAATACCCCTTAGTAACCGCGACGCGGCCGCTAGCCGACTGGATAGCAACCGGCCGCCGGAGCTTCTGACTACTACAAACCCCGAAAAGCCCCGCGGCCACTCCCGCCCGCAACCTCACGTCAGTGGGGACTCCGCGCGGCGCGTCACGGCGTCGGCTTCAGCCAATCGGCTTCGGACAAGTAGGGGTAGGAGGGAAACGCAGAAGCAGTCAAGATGGCGGCAGCGGCAGCTGCTCAGGGCGGGAGAGGTGGTGGCGGCGGAGGCAGTAGTGGGTCTGGCAGCGGCCCAGGCTGCGGGACAGGTAGTGGCCGCAGCGGCTTGTTGGATAAGGTGAGGAGCCAGTTTGTGGGGACAGTCCAGGCCAGCGGAGGCCCGGGAGGCGGCCATCCCACCTTTCCATCCCCTCTCCCCTTTTGCTTCATAGGTTTTTTTAAGGGAGTAGTAGTCTGGCCCACCATGGGAAACTTAGGGGCGCTTGCAGTCTGATCTCTCCGCACCTCAGACCCGTCTCTTTCCTCTTTAGGTCTTTCCTTCTCAGAAGTGTTCCTGGCCCTTCATGCCGGTCACCACAGCTTCTTACGATAACTTGATTATTTCCCCATTTTCACGCGGCTGTCACTTTTTCTCGGTGGTGCTGGGGATACGCTTGAATGTGCCCATTTCACCGAGGCGGAAACCTGAAGCCCGAAGGAATGAAAGCGGCTGTTGGAAGTCAGTAGTCCCCAAACTCCCCGTACTCTTGCGTGTCGCTACGGATTTCAAACTGCTCCTTAGCCTTTTTCTTTTTGAAGTTTTTAGGCGTTTTATCACCGTACTCCGGATACTGAACTTATTTGAGTATTGACGTCCCCTGTTGGACTGACAGGAAGCCTTCCAAGATTTTTCTTTTCTCTTGCCATCTTTACCCTCCCCCACAACCCCATTCATTCCCCCCTGCTTTCTGCCTTCAAGTGTCCTAGGTGAATTAAATTCATGAGTTTGTCAATTGTTCCTGTTTGCCTGTTTCCCTCTCCTCCCGTCCATATATATATTATAAACTGCGGTCTTCCCAACAGGGTTTAAAAGACAACAAAAAAAGGAAAACTCTGTTCTTGGGTTGGCCCTTCTTGCTCTCGCATAGCATCTTGGAAGAAACATTTGCATAGAAGTCTGCGACCTAGCACCGATTCTGTCTCTAATTAGCTGAGTGACCTTGAAACTGTTAGTTGTCTTTATATCTTGTTTCTTCAGCCGTGAACGGAGGGATTTAGCCTCAATATACCCTAAAGTCCCTTCCAGTTCTCTTATTGTAGGGTCATGCGTCAGTTTAATGAGAAATGTTAAGCATGTGGCTTTTAATATAGTAAATAATCAGGATTTTTCACTTTAATTGAAAACAGCTTTCAGATTTACCTACATCTGACCCTCGGTACGTGCTTAAGGAATGAAACATGGTCACGTCGAGGAGACCTGTTCTTTTTGCTTCTCTTTTTGGGTGTCATTGGTTTTGAATGACATGATTCACACACTCTTAACTCTTTTTAAGTGACAGGGGTGTGTTCTGGGGGTTGCAGTGGTAAATTGTTCCAAGCTTGTGAGAGTGGTGGGAATTGATGGCCATTTTCATACACAAATCCTATTTCCTGCCGGGTGAGCACCTCCTGGCCTGTGCTCATCCTATCCTATTAACCACTTTTGTTCTTCCCTTTTTTGGCTTATCACCAGCAAACTTTAAGCATACATTTTGCCAAGGTACTGATTACTGAAAAGTATATGGCATCATTAATTCCCATGTGCCATAAATGCTAGAGAATTCAGAAGAGTAACAGAAGGGAATTAATGTGTTATTGAAATAACCTGGATTTGGGCATTTGAGTTTTGAAGTAGCTCTGCTAACCTGATTCACCTTCCCTTTCTGCATCTGAAATGTTAGGGTTTTGGGGAGAATCAAATGAGATGATATACACTAATGATCTGTGTGACCTATAGTGTCTTCTACAAAATTACGATGGCAGAAGAATAAATCAGGAATCCCACAGTCAAAAAGTACTAAGTATTGCTGAGTAAGACAGGGGGTATAGGACCTAGACTACTAAACATAGAAGTATTTGAGGTATTCAGTTGTGTACTTTTTACAGAAGTTCAAATGAGAGAGACAATTATCCCTGAGATTTAATTGATAAGGAACTGCGGTCCCCAGGGGATGACTTCTTGTCTGAGAGTGGAGCTGGGACCTTGCTTTGGAGGAAAGGGAGGGAAGTCATACACCAGTTACTGTGTTTGAGCAAAGGTTCCCAGATGGTGCCTGATGTTCTAAGAAACCTGCAGTAGCAAGAATGAGGATGAAGAGGGCATGGATTGCTTGGAGTAGGAGTAGGAAGCTGTTGAAGGGTTTTAAAAATTACTCAGATAGTCCAGAGAGGTGAAAAGCCGACTAATAATGCCTTGTGCCATAGTAGTAGTATATAGGGTTTAATGCAAAAAGAAAGAAAAGTTTGAGTTCTAGTGCAGCATGTTAAAAGCTACATGGCCTTCGACAAGTTACTTGGTATTACTGAACTCACATTTTCTTATATAAATATTGTGGGTGCTCATGTATACATATTACAAGCTTGTAAATATTAAAATTGTATAATATTGGTAAATGTTCTTTATAAAGAGGCTAAAAGCCCTTTGTAAAGGGCTATAAAAATAGAATGACAAGGTGATGAGAACTTCCAACTTGAATAGCAGAAATAGGTATAAAGGCCTCACACAGGAGCACCTGACAGAATTAACTAAGAAGTAAGATAGAAATAAGTCAAGAGTTGTTTAGGTACTTTCTCTTGGAAAATTTCCTTTCTGCCTTATATTGAGTTGTTCCCCTTCTGAATTCTGTAACATTTATGACACATGGGAATTGAGCTGTCATTTAATGTGGCGTATTGTCTTGTGTTGTTATGCCAATTTGTATTTGTCCAGTTTTCCATGAGAGGTTCTGGAAAAAGTACTTGGCAGTATTGAATTAAGCAGAGAAAAACTTGGTCTTCAGGAACAGCCTTAGAAGATGGTACCTCTAGTTGTGTGAAAACTGAAGATACTGTGGAAGAGAATGGGGGGGGGAGGTTATCTTCAGTGGAGCAGCATCCGAATGAATTGAGAAGCTTTTGCTTTGTGGGAATGAAAGGCTGTTACTTTACAGTGTCTTTAATTTGATTTGTCTAGATTTTTTGAAGGGTTTTTATTATATTTCCTGTAGCTGAATTCACTTGCCATAAACAAATGTTGTAAAGAGATGCAAGTATGCTTATAGGTTTCCCTAAGCAGATGTGAATTTCTGTTCTTATGAAACTGACTTTAAGAACAAAGCAAATCTAGTTTCCTGATCTTAAAAATAGGTATGCAAATATATTCTTCTAAATTTCATCACAGAATGACTTAGATCATTGCAGTAAATTATTTTGCCCAAAATACATCAAAGTATTTAGTTCTACATAGCAGGTTATGAAGAAAAATTGCTTGCTTAATTTGTTTTGGCTGTTAAAATTAATGTGTTGTATTAAATCATTCTTTCCAGAAGCTGCACCAAAATCCTTTTAACCTATTACCTAGATCTCTGTCTCCTGACTGGATTTGATTTGACTATTAAAAGTGTTATGAAAGCATGGTATGAAACCATGCTTTCTAGAATCTATATCCAGACCCTTTTAACCTCATGGCTGGATTTCTGTCTCTTGGCTGCATTGTCAGCTTCAACTGAACAGTCCAGCTTTTACATCTTAGTTGAGAACACAGGTCTGGAGCTAGGCCATGTGTCTGACTTTGAATCTTGTCTCTGCCACTTACCAGGTGTATGTTCTTGGGCAAGTTAGTAAATTTTGTATCTCAGTTTCTTTATCTGTAAAATGGCAATAATTATAGTATTTGCATTAAAAGGAGGTGTTTGGCACGTAGTAAGTACTCAGCAGCTATGTGGTTATTCTGGGCTTTAGCTTTCTTAAACAAATATTTTTAATAACATGATATGGAGACTGTACATCAGACCCTCTTAGGGTTCTAGTTAAAAATACAGACTTTTGGCCCTGGCTGGTGTGGCTCAAGTAGATTGAGTGCTGGCCTGCTAACCAAAAGGTCACCCAGTTCAATTCCCAGTCAGGGCACATGCCTGGGTTGTGGGCCTGGTCCCCAGTGGGGGGAGTGCGAGAGCAACCAATTGATTTACCCCTCGCATGTGGGATGTTTCTCACCCTGTCTTTCTGCCTCCCTTCCCTCAGAAAACCTAAATAAATAAATGCAAAAATTTTTTTTAATACAGAATTTTGTACCTCATCCCAGACCTGAATTGGATTCTCTGAAGGTGGGGCCTGGACTTCTGTATGTTTTCATTTATTTCCTTTACATTTTAATAGTTATTTCCAAGTTGAGAACTACTGTCCTAGTTGACTTTTTAAATTCCTCTGGTTCTGACGTTTTAAGATTTTTTTAAAAATAACTTTTTTAAAGATTTTATTTATCTTTAGAGGGGAAGGGAAGGAGAGAGAGAGAGAAATATCAATGTATGGTTGCCTCTCATGTGTCCCCTGCTGGGAGCTGGCTTGCAACCCAGGAATGTGTCCTGACCGGGAATTGAACTATAAGATTTTTTTTGTTGCTGATTTTTTTTAACTATTCTGATTAATCAATAGTGGTTTCTCTAAAGTGTTTATAATGAAAAGCCCTTGAAGCTAGTCTGTCCCAGCCTCCTCATTTTGTAGGCATGGACACAGTTGGAGATGGGAAGATGAAGCAAGTTGCCCAAGAACACACAGTGAGTTATTAACAGTCCAGACCCTGGATTCCCCAGTTCTTAATCCAGTTCTCTTACCTTAGTACATTGCCCCCCATTCTGGAGCAGGCCATGTTCTAGCTGATATAGTAGTGGAAAGAACGTCTGTTTTGAGGTTGGAAGGCATAGGCATACACCTTGGTCTTGTCACCTACCAACCATGGTTCCATAGACAGGTCATGTATCCTCTTGTACTCTCAGTGACCAGTGTCTTAGACCTTTGGGTGGTGTGCCTGTGTCCTGACCTGGCTTGGGCAGAGACAGTGGACAGTTTCATGGCATCACAAGGTGCTGACTTTTTAACATTGTGCTGCAGACTAATAGCATCTCAAAACTCAATTTTTTCATTTTTTACTTAAAAAACAATTTTGTGTCAAAGGACACTCAAAAAAGTGAAAAGACAAGCTATAGAATGAGAGAAAATATTTGCAAACCATATATCTAATAAGGGTCTAGTGTCTAGACTATATAAGAATCTTATAACAATAATAAAAAGCCTAATTTGAAAAAGAATAAAGGATATGAATAGACATTTCTCCATAGAAGATATGCAGATGGCCAGTAAGCACATGAAAAGATGTCCAGCATACTAGAGAAATGCAAATCAAAACCACAATGAGATATCACTTCACAGGTACTAGTATGGCTATAATAAAAAATAAAATGTTGGTGAGGATTTGGAGAAATTGGAAACCTTTTACATTGTTGCTGGGGATGCCACTTTGGAAAACAGTTCCTCAGAAAGTTCAGTGTAGAGTTACCATATGACTTGTTATAAATTTCAGTTCTAGGTATAAACCCAAGAGAATTGGAGATGTATGTCTGCACAAAAAACGTGAGCACAGATAGTTGTAGCAGCATTATTCACAATAACCAAAAGGTGGACACAACTCAAGTATTCACTGACAGATGTATGGATAAACACAGTGTGGTATATCCATGCAGTGGAACACTTAGCTATAAAAGGAATGAAGTACTGATACATGTTACAACGTGGAGCCAGTCACAAAAGGCCGCATATTGTATAACTCCATTTAGTATACAAAATGTCCAGAATAGGCAAATCCATTTAGAGAAAAAGTAGATTTAATGGTTGCGAGGGCTGGAAGGTGGCAGGGAGGGGAATGACCCCTTATGGGTATGGGGTTTCTTTTTAGGGTGAGGAATATATTCTGGAATTAGTGGTGATAGTTACACAACCTTGTGAGTATAATTGACACAGTGTTGAACTGTACATTTTAAAATGGTAAGTTTTATAGTATGTGAATTATATTTTAATTTAAACTTTTAAAAAATCTTTACAGTGTTTATGAAGTAACCTTGAAGTTTCAGATTATTATTATTATTATTACTAACTGCGTATTCACCATATGTCACAGTGATAGCATAGAAGTTAATAATCTCCATCTGTCCAGGTCCTTCTTTTGGCTGTTGCCTGTACCATTTCTCCGCTGTGATCTCCCTCTTGTCAAATCTTAGTAGTAGTTTTTCATATTACTTGACCTTCCAAAGAGATAGCCAGTGTCATGGCTTAAATATCATCTACAAGTTGAAGACATCCACATTTATATTTATAACCTGGATCCAGACTTATATGTCTAACTGCCTACTTGCCATCTCCACTGAGATAGCTATATGATAAATATATAACAATGACTGTTATACACGCTGCTGCTCTATAGCCTTGTGTATTATTTCATGCCTATGCAGATAGAGAAATATTCCCAGAAGTGGAAAGTTGAATCCATGGTGTTAAATTGACTTCCATAGGTGGTGTACTGTTTTGAATTTCTGCCAGCAGTGTGTAAGAGAGTCGCTTGCCTCTGAGTAGCACAATATTTGGTAACCTTTCTCAACCCCTGTAGATGAGGAAATTGAGTGGGGTTTTCCAAAAGTCATGTGTGGTATAACTTGGTTTTTAATTCAAAATGTTTTTTCCAACAGACTACACTGGATTTTCCTATAGTAAAACATAGAAGTTGTTAGGAGACAAAGATATATTCATGGAGACCTTCTTCATTTTGTTACTGTCTGAGAGTCTGTGGATATATATTTTCTGAGTTTTGTTGTCACAGAACGAAAGGATGACCAAGTGGAGACCTTTTCTGCTCTCATATTTGGGTAGATGAGGGTGGGATGTGTGAGTTCACACGGTAGTCTCTGTAGCCCGCATAGGTGTTCTGGTTTGGGGCTTGTAGATTTTGACTTCTCAGCATGGCGACTGGCAACATCGTGAGTACTACCTGATTCTCGTGACCCTCGTTTCACCTTTGTTTCTAAGTGTTTTGTCTTTTAGTTGTCCAACATCAGAAGACAAGAGTAAATGATACTTATACTTAAGGATGTTCTTAAGGAAGCAGTTCACTTTACTTTCAGTAAGATACCATGTCCCTTGGTGTACAACTCTTCTGTTTGTTTTACAGTGGAAGATTGATGATAAGCCTGTAAAAATTGACAAATGGGATGGATCAGCTGTGAAAAATTCTTTGGATGATTCTGCCAAAAAGGTACTTTCTTGAGGTGGAGGTCTCAGTTGTACAGCTGACGGCTCATTTGCAGGCTTTTTCTTCTGTCACTTGGAATGACCTTAGTTTTCAATCTTAGGAATTGAGCCAGAAAGCAGTTTCTAAATCTTTACAATGTGTGTAGGGGAGCATGTGGTAAAATATAAATTAGCTACCCCAAGTAACTCCTCAAATTCTCTAATGTTTCAGTTTCAGAAAGCTGTTAATCTATTGTTTTGGGGGTTAATTAGCCAAGAGTAAAGAAGGTTGAGGAAACATAAGAGATGACATGACTGGTCATCTCTCCATTTAAAAAGGTAAAAAAAATTTTAGCTTCATCCTAGGGATTAAAAAAATATTTGAGAAGTTGATGAACTTTTTCTCTGGGATCCATTGTAAACAACTTGAATATTTTTGCTTAGAGGTAAAATTCTGATTAGAGACAACTGCTTGGTAACTTCCATGATTTTACTGTAGCTTTTATCAAGGAAATTAAGAATAAAATTTCTAGGAAGGAAGCATTGCTGTTAGTTTCATTCCTTGTTCTTCTCACTAGGTACTTCTGGAAAAGTACAAGTATGTGGAGAATTTTGGTCTAATTGATGGTCGCCTCACCATCTGTACCATCTCCTGTTTCTTTGCCATAGTGGCTTTGATTTGGGATTACATGCACCCCTTCCCAGAGTCCAAGCCTGTTTTGGCTTTGTGTGTCATATCATATCCTTTGTTTGTACTCGGGTTTGTTTTCTAGTGACTGTCTTAAAATCTCTACTGGCAACCTCCTTGTTCCCTGCAAAAAACAAACTTTGATCTGAGGGCCTGCTAAGGTTAGAATTTTACATTATCAGCTGTGGTAGTCTGTAAATGTATGTAGCGACTATCACTGGTATTTTAGATTTAGTATGGTTATTTTATCTTTAATTCTATTTAGTTATTAATATAGAGGTTATTAAAATCCAAGTGTAAGCACCTGATAGTCAAACACAGTAATAGCGAAGACCTAGCCCTTCTTAGTTCTAGTCCAGAACTTCTATTAGACCAGGTTGCTTCAAGCCACTCGTCCCAGGATATTAGGAAAAGGTCAGAGTTTGGAGGTTCAGGTTTGTGTCAGGTTTCCTTGAAGCTGAGGGGCTGGACTGGAAGTTGCTGAGCATGACTTGCAGGTGTGGCTTCTATGACAGCAGAAGTAAGAACCGATTCTGGAGCTGGGGGAGCCTGGCTTTGAAATTCAAGGTGTTTTGTGATCTTGTGCTAATAAGAACTTAACTTTTTTGAGACTGTTTGAATACTGCTCAGAGTTATAAATATGGGTAATATACACTCAGAATTATGAAGATTAAATGAGATATTATGTAATGTATTAGATATGTAATCAGCTCTGAAATGTTTTTTTCCCCTTTTTTGTGATAAATGTAGAATCATGTTTGTTACCTACCCAGCTAGATTATTTCTCAAAAAGCTGAATATTAAGAACTTTTATTATACTATTACTATTATTACAAAAGTAACACAGGTTCATAGTTAACAGTTTTCTTGCGGTTCCTACCCCTTCCTCTCAAGTCAGTCTGTACATACTGTGCTTTTCTTTTTAACTTAAATGTGTCAGTGTCTTTCTATATTAAAATATATATGTAGGTCTTCCTCATTTTTTAATAGCCACATAGTGTTTTTGAGTACCTGCTATGTGCCATTACTGTACTAGTTGTTTAAAACAAATCATTTTGGTAGGCAGTTTACTTTTTTTAACAGTATTGCCACAACCTGCAATATTTCTAAAATCTCCATTTTGGGAATTTTTTTTCTAAGGAATTTAGCAAGCCATTTAATCAAACAAGTCCTGATCAAAAATGGTATTATCCATATTGATTTCAAATCATAGTTCCTAGCCTTGGCATCTATACATTATCCCATTACAAATTTTTCACTATTAAAGCAGTTCAAAAGAATATACCATAGGTTCTGGAGACAGTTTTCAAAGTAGTTCCAAAGAGGCTGGAAGAATGAGAACAACATTATTACAAAATATGGCCTCCCAAGAAAAATAACTACCTTGATGGAATTTTATTTGTTTGGTTATATTGTTTAAAACAAAATAAGAACTTGCCATTTTTATAGTCATGTTAATTTAATATGTAGTAGTAATGACTACTTTTATAAATGTCTTCTGTGCTAGACACTTAAAAATAAAAAGTGAGTATTATCCCCATTTTAGAGCTGACAATTAAGCCTTGGTGGTGGGGGTGGGGGTGGGCAGGGATAATTTATCAAGGTTACATTGGTTAAAAGCCAGAATTTGAATTTAAGGCTGCCTCACTCCAAAGCCCATGTACTTTGCACTATATTTTCTGCCTCAAACTGTTATGAAATTTAAATTACACAATGTATAAAAAGCTCTTATGCCAATTTCTCATGCATAGTAGGTTCTTACAATTTTAACACTGTCAAAAACTGAATATAATAATCTATATGCATATAGGAAGTAATTGTTCTTATAGTAAACTATAATCTGAAGTGACTTATCTTCTCTTTTAGTGACCCTTGAAATTGATCAAGTCCACTGTGATTATTAGTTTTGTATTTTATAGAGAAATAAGCATAAGTCTTGACAAGTCTGTATATGTTATCCTTGAACAGAAAAGATGAAGGCTGGTTTATGCCCTGTACCCTTTTTCTTCTTTTTTGAAGTTATTTCCCTTTGAAGTATTCTAACCCAGCAGAGCCTTGCTTCTCTTAGTATATAAATATAACAATGAAAATGAAATAGCTAAATTTCAGTGTTTTTGCAGCAAGACAGAACTTTTTTTCAGCAGTTTTGCTAGCCTTTGCTTGTCTCTTTGGTGTATATGTTTGTGCATTTTCCCCTTAACTTTATTCGAACCTATTTTGTGATGATGGGGATCCTGACCATTTATACCTCATACAAGGAGAAGAGCATCTTTCTCGTGGCCCACCGGAAAGATCCTACAGGAATGGATCCTGATGATATTTGGCAACTGTCCTCCAGCCTCAAAAGGTATGACTGTCCTCACAGATTCCTAATTTCTGGTATTGGCTTTTTCCTGGGGGTTGCGTCATTATCAACAACGGACTATTGTATGCCTACTGTATGCAGATCATAGTGCTAGTCCTGTAAAATGAAGAAAGGGGTATGAATGATCTAGAAAGTTTTTCTGAGCATTGCAGTTCTGAGCTTGCATTATCACAGATATGCTCTGAGGATAAACTCTGGGAGAAAGTACTTTGGTGGAAGAATGAAGAATGATTTTCTTTTTCCATGTGACTAATTAACTGAGTCAGGGTGCAGAATTATAAAGGCCAAAGGTGTGAAGTCAGTTATTGGAAGAGTCCCATTAGCTTTAATTTCTTCTATGATCCTGAGTGAACTCCGTGCAGTCAGGAACCTCTGAAGCAATGTACCAGGCAACTCAGAGAAGGACAGTTCAGTCTGTTTCTGACCAGCAGTGACTAACTTTGTCCACCTGACAACTGAGGTTTTTCCAGGTATCCAGAAAAGGGTTCACATTTCAGCTCATCTCTTTCCAGCTTTAGCAGGGTCAGAAATAACTTGTAGAGTTGTTGGGAAGATGAGATATTAGTTATAATAATAGCAAATTTCTATTGAGCATATAGCAGCTTTTGTGCTAAGTGCATGATCTTATATAAACTTGAGAACAACTCATTTTATAAATAAGAGCACAGGCCCAAGTGGTTCGATTAATTCCTCCAGGGTCATACAGCTCAAAAGTGAATTCTAGTGGGTATTCCAACCCATGCCTGAGCCCAGAATTCATGCTGTTAGTCACAGTCCTAAAAACACATAGTGCAGTTTCTAGCATATAGTAGGCTCTCAGATTACAAGTACAATTATCCACAAATATGATCATAAGTGCAGCATCAGTGCCAAAAAGCCTCTCATTACCAGCTTGTGGAGATGCCATTGAGGAGGGGCAGCCCTTCATTCTGATGTTGCAGCCGATTTCTTAACCTCTTCCTGGCAGGGCCCCTAGCTGCCCTTTTGGCCTCAGCCATGCTAAATCTGCACCCTGTGCCGGGCCACTGAAGTAGGGTTGCAGAATTCTAGACCCTAACAACATCTTCATTTCATTATGTTTATTCTGACACGTGTTTATTAAAGTAGCTTCATTGAAATATAATTCACATACTGTACAGTTTACCTGTTTAAAGTGTACAGTTCAGTGGTTACTAGTGTATTTATAAACATTTGTAACTGTCACCACATTCGGCTTTAGATCATTTTTATCACCGCAAAAAGAAAGCCTGTACCCTTTAGCTAACATCCCCCTATCTCCCCATTCCCCACAACCTTAAGTAACCACTAATCTACGTTCTATCACTGTAGATTTTCTTACTTTGGATATTTTACATGAATGAAATGTGATTTTTTTGTGACAGACTTTTTCACGTAACCTAATGTTTTCAAGGTTCATTCATGGTGTAGCATGTATCATATTTTATTCCTTTTTATGCTGAATAATGTTCCACTGCATGTATATACCACATTTTGCTGATCCATTTATTAGTTGATGGACAGTTGAGTTGTTTCCACCTTTTGGCTATTAGGAATAATGTGTCTCTAAACATTTGTGTACAACTTTTTATGTGATCATACATTTTCATTTCTTAGGTAGTATATTTAGGAGAGGAATTGCTGGGTCATAATGGTAACTCTTTAAATTGTTTGAGGAACTGCCAGATTGTTTCCCAAAACAGCTGCACCATTTTACAGTCCCACTAGCAGTGTGTGAGGGTTCTGATTTTTCCCTATTCCCTGCTGATTTTTACCAGCTGCCAGTTGTTGGTGCCTTTGGAGAGGAAATGTGCCACTTGTGTTCCTTCTTGTTGCAGTTAAATGTAGACCCTTCCCTTTCCTTGAAGAAAGCTCCTGGTTCATTGGCCCTTTGTCTAACATAGCTCTTTCCAGAAATCTTCATGATTCAGTATCCTAGTGGATGATTATTTTAGTACTTTGGCCTCTCCTTTTTATTGTGATTATCTTGTTTACTACCAAGACTTAAGTACTTATTTCCTTGGGCAAACACTAGGCTTTGCCGTTACTGATAACTGACTGCCTTCAGTGATTTCACTTTTAAGTATCTCATTCTCTGACCACTGCTTCCTGTTTTTCTGGGTTTTCTCCTTGTAGTTCTCTTGGCCTAATGATTCCTCGGCCCCATGCCTGCCACTTTTTCATGGCCCTTCTTCCCCTCACTTTCTCTTCATCCAGTTTAGATTCCATGTCATTTCTGTAATCTAGTTACTCTCACATGTGTTGGGAGTACCCAGCCTTTTGGCATCTGAGCCACACATTAAATACATTGTGACACATAATCACACACACAAAAAAATCATAATGTTCTAAGTAAATTTACGATTTTGTATTAGGCTGCATTCATAGTGATCCTGTTCTGCATGTGGCCCTCGGCTGCAGGTTGGACGCCCTTGGAGGCTCTTCCATACCTTTTTCTCTATTTTCAAACCTCCTCCCCCTGCCCTGCCCCTCTACTCTCAGCTTCTTTTGTTCCTGAGAAGATTCAAGTAATCAGCAATCTTGCTTTATTACCTGCTCATTATATTTTGCCTTTCTGACTTCCTATCTGAAGCCTTCTCTCCATTTGTCCACTAGATTCCTTTTTTTTTCCAGATGAAATTTTTATTTTTATTTTTATTTCATTGTTCAAAATTTTTTCCCTTTGCTCTCCTTCTCCCAGCCTGCTCCCTCTCCCTCCCGCCCTACTCCCAGAGTCAATCCTCACACTGTTGTTCATGTCCATGGGTCATGCATATATATTCTTTGACTAGTCCCTTCCCCTTCCTCCATTATCCCCCTCCCCTCCAGCCATTGTTAGTCTCTTCTATGTTTTCATGTCTCTGGTTCTATTTTGCTCATTATTTTATTGTGTTCATTAGATTCTTCTTACAAGTGAGATCATATGATATTTGTCTTTCACCGACTGGCTTATCATATGATATTTGTCTTTCACTGACTGGCTTATTTCACTTAGCATATACTCTCCAGTTCCATCCATGCTGTCACAAAAGGCAGGAGTTCCTTCTCTCTGCTGTGTAGTATTCCATCTTATAAATGTACCATAGTTTTTCTTTTTTAAATCCACTCATCTACTGATGGACACTTCGGCTATTGCCAGCACTCGGCCATTGTAAATTGTGCTGCCATGAACATAGGGGTGCATTAGTTTTCTTGAATTGGTGTTTTAGGACTGTTAGGGTATAGTCCCAGGAGTGTCCCCTAGATTCTTACCCCTTATCGTTTACTTGATGTTTTTCTTTCTTCTGAATTGTTCTTTCTGGCATATAAACAAGCTGTAATTTCCCCAGCTAAAAAAGAAAAATTGTTTTCTTTCCCCTTATTCTGCTCATACATTGTTCTCATTTCTCTGCCCTCCCCATCTTCTCCCCATTATCTCCTTATCTGCTGTGGTCTTCACTCTTCTCCTCATGTCAGCATGAAGAATGTTGACCTGTCAGCAGCATTTGACACAGTGGATTACTCTCCTTGTTGCACTGCTCTTTTTTTTTTAACTAGGCTTCTAGGGTGCCACAGTCTCCTGATTATCTTCTTACCTTAACATCTGTTCCTTAGTCTCTCTTGTACTTCTGCATTATTCCCTTTCTCTAAATTTGAAATGTGACCAGTGCTTGTTCCTACCACTTCTTCTCTATATTCACTCACTAGGTATAATCTTACTAGACTTTCAAGATTTTAAATACCAACTCTGTGATGAAAATCTTTAAATCAGAATTTTCATCTTAAATTTCTACTATGAGTTCCAAATATGTCCCAGCGTTCTATTTGACACTGGATCCTAATGAGCATCTTAAAATTAACACATCCAAAACATAACTCTGCTCTCCCTTATTTAAACCTGCTTTTTCCTTCACAATAAATGGCAGCTCTGTCCTTGTAATTACCTAGGCCAGAACTTAGGAATAATTTTGAATGCTCTCTCAGTCCTTCCAACAAATTCTGTCAGCTCTACCTTCTAAATATATTCAGTGTGCTACTTGCCATCTCTGCTGCCACCATCAGCACTCAGTCAGGCTACTGTAGTGATGTCCTAAAGGACCTCTGTGGCTGCTGTCCCTGTCCAGTCTATTCCCAGTGCATCAGGCAGAGTGATCTTTTTTTTTTAGGATTTTATTTATTTATTTTTAGGAGGGAAGGGAGGGAGAAAGAGAGGGAGAGAAACATCAACGTGAGAAACATTGGTTGGTTGCCTCACATACATGCTCCAGCTGAGGACCACAAAAAATTGAAAAATTTGTGGGATGATGCCCAGCCACCTGAACCACACTGGGCAGAACCTGGATAATCCTTTTAAAGCTTAGAGCAGATCAACTCAATTCTCTGCTTAAAACCCCCACTCAGAGAAAAAAACTAAAATCTTAAGCATAGCTTAGAAACCCATACTTACGTATTCTCCGTACCCTTCATACTGTGTGCACATATCCCTCATCTCCTGTGGCCTTTCCTACCTACCATATTTAAAAGAAATGTTGTATTTTTTAATTTTATTGTTGGTTTTGTTCCATGCACTGTAAGTCCCAAGAGGCAGAGATTTGTATTGTGCTTATGGCCCTATATTATTAGCATCAGAAACTGCCTGACACGCATATTTGGGGCTGAATAAAATATTTCTTGAATTAATGACTACTTCTAAAATGCATTATTAGGTCACAACTCATCAGATCACATTCTGCCATCAAAGCCATTGAACTGTCCATGGAACTGGGCACAAAGTCCAAATATTATTGTGATATCATTTAGGAGCAGCAGTTGGTCAGAGCCTGAGAAAATTTTTTGAGGTGTTGAAAATAGTTCAAGGACCTTCATTTCTAGCTATTCATGTTGGGAGTAACTAGCTAGATGACAGTTTATTAAGTTATGATTTATTTCACTGGTTATTTAATGATAGGCACTGTTTAACCATGACAGTAATCCTGAGGACTAGGTAGTAGTTTGCGTATTTGAAATATGTAGAAACAGGTCAAGCAGCTGCCTCCTCTAAAGGTAATACCAGCCCGACAGACCACTGACTATGAAGGCAGAAACAGGAGAGGGTTGGGGAGGAATGTCAGCCTGACGGAAGTTGGTGTATAGGGGTGTCCAACCTTTCAGCCTCTCTGGGCCACACTGGAAGAAGAGTTGTCTTGGGTCACACATTTAATACACAAACACTAATGAAAACTAATGAGCAAATAAAAGGTTTTAAGTGAATTTATGATTTTGTCTTGGGCCACATTCATACCTATCCTGGGCCACATGAGCCCCTTGAGCCACAGGTTAACACCCCTGTACTTTCTTGAGTGGCTGGAAATGGTAAAGGCCTTTAAAATACCTTAAGGAGTAGCTAAGAAATCTCTGGAGTTAATGGAGTAAAATACATCCCTGGTGTGGGATCAGGTAGAACCTGGAGCTCGATTGATTGTAGGGTATTAAGGACTGAGCAGCCTGGAATTGGGGAACATCTGTAAAAGCAAGGGTTCTTCATTTATTTATTAAAATGTGATTGTCTCAAGTGCCAAGCTAAGAATAGAATATAGATAAGACAGAATTCTTGCCCTCCAAGAATAATATCTGAGTCTAGTGAAGCATACAAATACACATTATTTCAATAGATAATTTAATTGTTAGCATGGGAGCCTGTCATTACACCTGGCATATGATAAGCACTCAGTATTTGACTATTGGTTGATGGTGCTGTGGAAGATAAAGGAGAGACATCTGGTCCAATTTAGGAAAGCTTTCCCAGAGAAGTTTATGCCCTGGTGTTAACAAATGTGACCCAGTCAGTGAGGTTGGAGAGAAGTGTCTACTAGGAAAACTCTTCTAGCATAACAAGTGTGAAGTCCAGAGGAGAGAGAAGATGGTCTGTATGGCTTAACGGTCTATAGCAAGGTGAAGGAGGTGCACAGCAGTTAAATCAGGGAAGACATGGGAACACCTATGAGTCAGAATGTGTGTGTTTTGAAGGTAGTTAGCTACGGGAATTTTTTTTTAGAGAATAAATCTTTGTGTAGTCCTCTTAGCCCTGTTCTTTGAAAATACTTGGTACTCTGCTATTACTGGTTGAATCTCTGTGTGTGGTTTTTAATTTATTATCTTTGCTTAGGTTTGATGACAAATACACTCTGAAGCTGACCTTCATCAGTGGGAGAACAAAGCAGCAGCGAGAAGCTGAGTTCACGAAGTCCATTGCTAAGTTTTTTGACCACAGTGGGACACTGGTCATGGATGCCTATGAGCCTGAAATATCTAAGCTCCATGACAGTCTTGCCACAGAAAAGAAAATAAAATAGCCAATTCTAAAAACAGCCATCTTTTTGAAGGAACGTGCAGAATCAAAGGTTGAGGGGGGAAGAAGCAGAGAAAAGTAAGAAATGTTAAATGTTCCTGTTTTGTCCTGAAGTTTAGTCCATTCTGGATAAGTAGAGTTTTCTATCTGAGGTGTGAGAAATTGTAGCTCTGATATCTAGCTGTAGCCCCCTTGGTATATTGATTATATTCTTCTGATTTGCTTTTCTGGAAAAACATTTTTGCTAAAAACAGAACAGACTTTTCTCCTTCCTGTCTAGCAGTATAGTATAGCTTTGTTCCATGCAGCATAGAAGACTCAGTTTTTAAAAATTGCTAATCTCTTGCTTATTTTATTTTGTTAATTCCTGTTTGAATAGCTGTTTTCTTAATTCAGGATACAATTTCTTGTGTACATCTTCACACACCATTTTTTTTGTGGTGTGCATATCCCTAAATTGGGGTGAATTGGGAAAAAAACAAAGCTTTTTTGTTTGTTTAAAAACAGACCTTCTGCCTGTTACATTTTGTGTGCTCTTATCCAGTTAAAGAAGCCAATGACAGTTTTAGTTTTATATGGTTTGTTTTTCACTAGTATATCCCTGTTGATTTGCTGATTTGTTTGTGTCCTTTATTAAATGCCATTAAAATTTTTTTTCAATAAAAGGAAAGAAGGTGTGAAAATACAGAATTTTCGATGGGTAGTTCTGATGGAAGGAACAGAGCAGCAGGTGTTAACAGTCTTACTCTCCTGTAGGTTCCGTTCATTTCTAGGCTGTTTGACTGGTCAGAGGCCCCTGAGTACCTGTAGTGAGGAACTGGTAGCTTTCCAGTGATAACAGCAGTGACACTCAGTGCTTACTTTTGTCAGATAGTGTTCCAGGTCCTTTACGTGTATGCTCACAACAACCCTAAGAAATGGGTACTAGTATCTCCATTTTATCGCTTCCAGAAACCGGAGCACAGAAGTTGAGTACTTTGTCACTCAGCTAGTGATAAAACCGGGATTAAACCTGGGTGGTCTGGCTCCAAAATTGCGAGCAGCATCTTTTCTAGTATTTTTGTACTGTAGTCAGAGAAAAACTGGGCACTTGTCTAAATCCTGTGATCTATGGGAACATTGTCCCTCTATCCTTACAAAAGGACAGTTCTAGCTGAACATCGTATCTAAAACTATTCACCTTATAAAACATCATGCTTGTCACATTTTGCTCTTTGACTTGAGAATGTTGTGATAATTGGAATTCTGGTCAAGATGGCAGCATAGGTCAACATGGCTTGCCACAACCACATCAGAATTATAACTAAAATATAGAACAACCATCACTCAGAACTGTCAGAAGTTGACTTGAATGGAAGTCTGACAACTATGGAATTAAGGAAGCCACATCCAGCCACACCAGTAGGGAGGGGTGGAGAAGCAGAACGGGCTGGTCCTGCATCCACATGGGGCGGATAAAAATTCAGGAGGTATGTCTCAGGAGCAAGGAATCCCAGCCCTGCAGCAGGCCCCACTGCAGGCCCCCCAGACCAGGGTTCCAGTGCCAGGATGGTAAGTCCCTACAACTTCTGGCTGCAAAAACCAGCAGGGATTGAGTCAGTGGAAGAAACTTCTGGAGTCCCCAGAAGTTTCCCTTAACCCATGTACAGACTTACTCAGACTCACTCCCTCTGAGCTCCAGCACTGGGGTAGCAGTTTGAAAGGCACCAGTGGCACACAGGGAGGAACTGAAGTATCTGGAATCAAGGCGGGAGCTAGGGGACAAATTTCTCCCAGACAGAAAGGCAGACTGAGTCCATACTCCTTTCTGAGTCCTCCCCTCACAGAGCCACAAAGCTGGCAGGCAGGTGCCATACGTGAGACTCCCATCAACCTGGCTAACACTGTTTGCCCTGCCCTGGAGATTCCCTGAGAGACTGTTCCCCCCAATTATGGGCCTCAAACAGTTCATCGTGACTTTTCCATATGAATGGCTGGTCCTGGCTCATGCTTCACAACTTCCCAAATTCTCTCAAGCAACAGCCAGCCTTGGTGAACCCCTAGTCCCTGTACCTCTTGCTCATTGGCTCTAGGAGCAGCTAGCCTAGATTCACAGCTTGGCTTTGCCTGGGAATCTCCAAGCCCAGCATAAGTAGCAGTCATCTCAGGTTGCTTTATAGCTCAGGCAGGGTACCCTGGGCAAAACAGGTGGGGGGCTGACCTTGGCCTGCACCACCCAGAAAACCCTAGGGCCAGCATACCCAGTGGACAGCTACAGATGGTGTCAGAGCATCACCACCTTGCCCCCACACAGCTGATCTGATCACGGCCCAACTACAAGAGGAAGGTGTACTCAGCCCACACAAAGGGCACAACTTGAGTACCCTGCTTGGGTGACAGGAGAGGCTGTGCCACTGGACCCTATAGGACACCTACTACTTAGGCCATGCTACCAAGACAGGGAGTCATAGCAGCTCTACCTAATACATAGAAACAAACACAGGGAGGCTGCTAAAATGAGGAGACAAATAAACATGGCGCAAATGAAAGAACAGATCAAGACCCCAGAAGAAACAAAAGGGAAATAAGCAATCTATCAGATGCAGAGTTCAAAACACTGGTTATAAGGATGCTCAAGGAACTTAGTGAGGACTTCAACAGAATAAAAAAGATCCAGTCAGAAATGAAGGATACACTAATTGAAATAACAACTAAAAATTGTTGGGCAACAACAGTGGAATGGATGAAGCTGAGAATCAAATCAGTGATTTGGAACTTAAGGAAAACAAGACATCTAGACAGTACAGCAAGAAGAAAAAAGAATTCAGAAAAGGGAGGATAGTATAATCAGCCTCTGGGACAACTTCAAGAGGTCCAACATTTGCATCATAGGGGTGCCAGAAGGAGAAGAGAAAGAACAAGAAATTGGAAATCTATTTGAAAAAATAATGAAAGAAAACTCTCTAATTTGGTGAAGGAAATAGACATGCAAGATCAGGAAGCACAGAGAGTCCCAGACAAGATGGATACAAAGAGGCCCGATCCAAGACATTTTATAATTTTAATGCTAAAGATTAAGGGAATCTTAAAAGCAGCAAAAGAAAAGCAGTTGGCTACCTACAGAGGAGTTCCCATAATACTGTCAGCTGATTTCTCAAAAGAAACTTTGCAGGCCAGAAGAGATGGGCAAGAAATACTCAAAATCATGAAAGCAAGGACCTACAGCCAATTGCTTTATCCAGCAGAGATATCATTTAGAATTGAAGGGCAGATAAATAGCTTCCCAGGCAAGAAAAAGCTAAAGGAGTTCATTGTCATCAAAATATTAAATGTTAAAGGGACTTATTTAAGAAAAAGGTCAAAACTGTGAACAGTAAAATGGCAAAAATACATATCTATAAACAACTGACTAAAAACAAAGGCAAATGAGAAGAACAGAAAATCATGGATATAGAGAGCACTTTGATGGTTGCCAGATGGGAGGGGTGTGTGGGGGAATGGGTGAGGAGGTGAGGGGATTAAGACACACAAATAGGTACAGACTAGCCATGGGGATATAAAGTACAGTATAGGAAATGGAGTAGCCAAAGTGTGACGCATGGACATGAACAATGGTGTATAGATCGCCTGAGGGAGTTGGGGGTGCTGGGTGGAGCAGAGCAAAGAGAAAGAAATGGGGACAACTGTAATAGCATAATCAACAGAAGATAATTTTAAAAAAGAAGGTTGGCCTATCTAGTATCGCACCATGGGGGTTGTGGTACAGTGCATCACTGGGTGGGAGTTGAAGCCTTGGGTTCCATATTCTTCATTCCTGTCAACCTTGGGTAAATCATGTAATTCTCTGAGTTTGTAGGGCCCCTTCCCCCACCCTCTTTTTAGAAGACTTCTATCCTGTTAGCTCCTTGAAGCTTTTGAAAGTGTGTAATTGGATAATCATTTTCACAGTGAAGGGGGGGGCGGTTACTGTTAGACACGGGCCCAAGGCTTGCAAATGTAGACGGAATAACCCCCTCCAAGATGATTTCCTGGAGTTCTTTCACACTGGGTGTACCTTTTTCTTTTACATACACAAACATGTATCTTCATTTTTTTTTTTTTACTGCTTTCACCTTTTATTGAAGGAAATGAGAGAATTACCTCTGTAATTTGGAAATGCTGCTAATATTATATGAGGCTATGAAATTTTAAGATCTTAAAGTGAAACTGTGGCTCTTCAGAAAACTTGGAACTTCACTTTTGGTTTTTTTTAAACAAAAGTTGAAGTATGTTCTGTAGTTTAACTTAATATTTTTAGGTACTGTCCCTGTCAGTTTGTGTAAATCAAACATTTTTAATAGCTGCATAACAGTCTATAGTAGAAGTGTTTTTAAAGTAACTCTTTCCCTATTGAGAGACATGCTTCTTGTCTGTTTTTAGCTTTTCACTCTCCCATGGGAGGAGTGGGTTGGGGGAAGAAGGGAAAAGTAGGTTTTCAAGAGAGACTAGAGACCTGGGTTGCATCTAGCTTTATTCTAATTTGTGACCTTGGGCAAATCGCATTCCTTCTCTAGGAGTAGGTGTCTGCACCTGCCCTGGAGGTTTCAGGTAATGTATCTGTTTGAGATTATTTTGAAGGTTCCTTACCCCCAGAAATGTTCACATACTAAACATTCCTTATGATTACAAAGAATATGAATGCTATAAATCTTTTAAGTCTGCCTATAAACCTCACTCTGAGATTTCTTAGGCTGCATGCATTTCTTAAGGTTTTTCTCTGACTTTAGATACCACTATAGGCAGTATCAATTTGCTGAAAAGTGGGTTGGCAGTCCTGTGTGGCACTTGGTCATTCACCCCCATGCCTGCACCTGTGGTATTTTAGGACAGTTTCCCATCACTTGAACCAGCTCATGCCCCAGTATGGGTGCAGTTTGTGAGGCTGCAGAGAGCCTGTGGCTGGCTTTTGGTACCTGTGTCAACTGAGTAGTCCCTTCAGCCCGTTTTGAATACTGCTGGGCTGCTCTCTACCCTCTCTGGTAGGTCTGAGCACCCCTTCTGTCAGGACATCCATCACATTTTCCTCCTGGCTCTTGACTCCTCATGCCTGCCTGGGATGGATTTGGGTTTTCCAAAATGTATGAATACTTAGGGGAGTGGGAAAAGAGTGAATGTTTTTTTATTACTTGCAAATTTTAGCTACTAATGTATATTTGATGTTCGTTGCTTTTTAATATTTTTCAGGAACAATCTTTTTTGCTTCATTGCAACCTTAGGGAATGGAAACTTCCTACTTACTAGTCTGGCAATCAGCCTTGGGTCCTGTAGTGACTACTGACACTAATATTCATCCTGGGTGGGCCGTAGGGCCTTCCCTCACAGCGGTTACGGGTTACGGGGACCTACAACTATGTGAGCAGGAAAGGAGGGGAATCCCCAACTTCTGTGGGCAGAAACCAGGTGAACTGTTAGAATTTTGGCTGGTTTGCTTGGGAGAGTAGGGATTCCAGTGCATGTTGCTTGTTACGGAATAGCAGCCTTTGGGTTGTCTCATAGCCAACCCCATCCTATGTTCTATCATGCCAACTTTAGATCCACTCAGACAAGAGTAAAGGTCTCAAGAATTTTTTTGCATTGGGCCTTGGCTGCTGTAAAGGA